GTTCAATTTGCATATTAGCCTTTTATTATATAGGATCATTAAGTGGTAAGTAAATTACTGGTTATTTAACTTTCATCTGAGGCTTCAGCTAAATCTATACTACTTTAAAAAAGAAAACTCTAAAATTCTATTTCTTTGCTAAGGCATTTTGCTATGCAAAAGAACATGGGCTCAATCCTGAGAGTTTACAAACCCAAAACAAACACACACAGAAGACAGATCACGGTATCTGATGTCAGATTTTTTAAGGCCAAAGTAAAATTGTGATTACTACAAACCAATAGTGAAAAATAACCCACTGCCTTAAATTAAAGAAAAATTTCATCTTTGCAACAAATTAAATAGAGAATCTCAATTCAGTTATAGGAAACAAACTCCTGCCAACATTGTTAGATTATCCTAATTGTAAAGTAAGAGACCTTAGATTTAAGCATAATATCCAACCTAATTATATTCCACACACATTAAATAGCGGAGCATTCTACAGGAAGGAAACTTAGTTGATTTATTGCTTAAATTATGGAAAAACAACTCAGTTATAGGGCGTATTTTTGCATTTAAAAAGATCAGCTTTTTCATGTAATGGCTGTGTAATTGGTGTTAAGAAGCAGATTCCAGTTCCAGAGAGTGATCATGCTTCTGAAATTGCAATCTCATCTAGCTCTATACATATGAATTGACATTTTTATTTTGCTTCTTTGTTCCCCCTTGTCTTACCCATTTCTCCTGGGAGTGCATCCTGAATAAACCCTGTGTATCCTAACCCTTGACCTGTCCTATGATTTTAGGAGAGTTTATGTATATCCCCGATCAAGCAAAATATTAGTCTCAACGATAAATCTTATAATTTCTCTCTTTCTATTTCTGGTGTTTTGCTCCCTCTCCTCTAATAACAGAGTTGGGTTTTAGGTTCCACAAAAAAACCCAACCTATTGTCATTTGCACAACCTTCACTGGACAGCAGAACCATCCAGGAAGCTTTGTAAAAATGCGATTTTCTGGGACTTACCTTAATAGTTTGTAATTCACTTGGCCAATAGAGAAGACTTAGAAATCTGATTTTACAGCATACTTTTAAGGAAATTCTGCTACTGGGGGAACTAGGACACTCTTTACAAAAACAGATCTAGCCTCTCACACAATAAATTGAAAAATGTCTGCATATAATGAATTCACATACATATGGTAAGATATCATATATCTATTTACATATGATTTATAAGCATCTAATATTATCTCAAGTCCTATCTGTACATGAGGAATTGGTTACTGGATGTTCTTATTAATCCAATACTTTCATAGTGATAGGACACAGTGGTGTGTTACAATCAGATTTTAGGTACATAATAAAAAATTGGTTGTTAATGACATTTAAAGTCAGTTACTGGTACTTTTAACCAATAAGTTAGAGTGATTTGCAGTTATCCATAAAATGATATTCCCCTTTATTTGAATTTTTATATGTTTTACCCAATGGAAGAGGAGAGAGTTGAACCAGAGCCATAGTGCTTTAAGAATAGCATAATACACTCTGCGAGTCCTGGCCGGTCACTGCTCTTGCTACTGCACCATTAATAGCCATGTAAGGATGAATTGTTGTATCAATTTATTTCCATAGAAATGTAATTGTTTGGTTTCATAAAATTCTGTTAAGCATAAACAGGAGTCCTCTACATGAATGTCCCTATGTTAACTTTTACTAATGGGTAGAAAAAGAAGAAAGGTGGCATAGAAGTTGCAGGCATTTCAAAACTGCTGAGGTTCATTGATTTTCAAAAAAGTACCAAGACAAAATAACAAAACTGTGGTTTTGAAATTGGCACAGAGAGGTGTCAGTACTCTGACACCTGAAATAGAGCACATGGTAATCAGATACGGATGGCATCATTTATTTTTTTCCACAGGGGAGGAAAATATGAAAACAATATTTGGTTAAGTTCTTCTTAAGAAATCAATAAGACAATAGATTTTCTTTTTCCCACTTTCAGCCTAATAGTCTTGCTTAGTTTTGTCTCTAACCAACCGATTTGGGGTACAAAATACTCTTGCCTCACCAAATTTACACCTTCAACTGAAACAAGGGCAAATTTTGCAAAATCTAAAGTAGAGAAGGTTTGGGTTTTCTCATTGAGCCAATCCAGGCTCACCAATTTACCACCAGACATTTGGAGTAAGTAGCTCCTGTATTTGTGCTCAGAGATCTAAAATTGCTTTTCTGAGCATCTTTAAGTTGTGATATTTTTTTTCTATTACACATAAAATGTTTCTGAATTCTCTGAATTCCTTCTGTTATACTTCTCTACCTGCCAGAGAATTTACATAGGACTCCTGGGTGCTCTCACAACCCTTCCCAATCCTACTCCTTAGAAGACACTGGAGAAATGAAAAAAATAAAAATAAAAAATAGACCAGCACCAGCAAATCTTAATGATCTCTGGAAGCCCAGACAAGAATATTTCAGGAAAAAAATAGATGTTTTAAATGTTTTAAGGTCATTAACAAGGTTGTAAATTTATGAGGAATGTGGGAGGTAAAAAAAAAAGTATTTTTATTATTTTCTGTATTCATAGACTCCAATTCTTCATTTCCCTAGCTGAACTTTAACTTAATTATAAAGCAAAATCTATAGTTGCAGCCAGGCCTAGAGGTAGAGCCTGTACAACTAATCAACTTTAATTCCCTGGGTTCGATTTAATTATAAAACAACATTTGGTGCAGCTGCTAAACACTTACTAGGTGACCAACCACATGGTAACAATACTGGAGGAGTATTTACAGGGCTCCAGCTTTTGCTCTGCTTCTACCAGCTCAATTATGGTTCAATGACATAGAAATTTGAACAGCCTCTAGGATATACAATAACAGAGAATTTTCTTGATTTTATACATCCCTGTAGTTGAGCCAGTTAAAATATTGAGCTGCACTACAACTAATTAATGCCAGGATGTAAAATTTAATGATGAAAGAGATGTCCTAATAAAGGACAATAATGACGAATCCAATATCCATAGCATACATCTTACCATTTTTTATTCCTTCTTTCTGTGCAATAGATGAAGTGAAACCAGCTTATATGTACTGCGAGTTATCAGTTTGCCTTTTAAGTTATAACATACATCACTCTTCAATATAACCAGGCATAGCTAACTCATTCTTTTGCTTGTTCTTTCATGTTCCACAAGACAACTTAAGAGGTAAATATCTGTGTTACAAAATATTTTACCTGACAAAATTAGAACTAAGCGCTGGTATTTTTTTTAAATAGCTAGTTCCTCTAGTATATTTAAGATATACCCAATTTGCACAAACATGCAGGAAGAGCACAGCAATAAGTGAGATCTGATTTTTCATCTGATAATATTTGGGCAAAAGTTTCACGGGCAATTAACTTTTCAGCTCAGCATTTTTTTTTTTTACTTTAGCTTGCCCAAATATACCACATACATGGGATCCGGTTCCTCCATCGGTCTACAGGAGGATAAAAGAAAATTATTTCAATCGAGGGGAAAAATCAAGAAGTGGTATCAGTAAAGGAGTTTCCAATGATGCCAAAATAAATATGACCCTTACTGCTTCTACAGCAGCTCAGAAGGAAACACAGAGGGGGCCATCGAATCCAAACGAGGATTTGAAGTGGGTGTGCAAGTGCAACAGAATGTGTTCCTTCTGCTTTCTTTTTTCCTAGATGTGAATCTCCTTTTTTAGGGCAGAACTGGGTAAAAAGCTAACGAGAGGCTGTATCCTAGTTAATTGTATCTACAGAGAAAAAAAGAAAAATAGATGACCTTCAGTGCAAACTACCAGATCAATGATCCCTTTCTTCACCTTCCAACCGCAGGCGCTGGTGTGGATTTTACCTGGTGCTGTCCTGCTTGGCTACCTTGGACTCTGGACAAAGAAGACGCTGTACGTTTCAAAGTCGAAAGGCTAATTTCGCAGTGCTGACAGTGTCTGCCATTCTCTTACCCCAGAGACTATCTTTCTCTACTGAACAGTGACTGCCTCACAGGAGGAAGCAGCCCTGCATGCTGTAAGAAAATGGGATAGGAGGAATTATGATGGCTACCAGATGTCCCAGTGCCCCCGAGGGCGCCAGAATGCTTCCTTGTGTGCTGGAAACAGCATAAACTGTCAGACCACAGGCCCCTGGGGCACGGTGCTCATGCTGCCCTGCTGTGCAGAGTCATAAGATTCGAGAGTGGGAAGGGGCCTTAGAGATGCTCTGAGCCAGGGGTTTTAAACGATGTCTGGGGAAGGTCTGTTTCCTAAGTGTGACCCAGGGATTGCTGAAGAGTAAGGGGATCTCCTTAAAACAGTAGCAGCACTCTTGGAAAGAATGTAAAATCTTATGTCAGGGCTAACAAGACAGGATATTTTATCAAACAAAACTCAGTTGTAAAAGTCCAAGGCAGCTCAGGAAAAGAACCGTGGAAAATCACCATCCCAGTGGCTGTCTGACATTCCCAGAGGGGAGGGCCTAGCGCTCAGAAAGATGATGCAAGAACTCGAGGGTGAGATAGGCCCAGTGGCTCTGGAATCTGGAAATTAAATTATATCACTAAGCTGTAATATCAGGATGTGAAATAAAGGCTTCTCAAGACAAGTCAACCAAGCCTTATAACGCTTCTCATTTTCTTTGGGGGGAAAAATACCACTTAGAAAAATGTTACCTTTTCCCATTATTTTAAAATTTGGCAATTTAATACATTATTGGCCTAATGATGATTTAATTCTTGGTCTGTTTTACCTGTTTTCAAATGAAAAAAATACTGTGATTGTTCAAAGAACCTCTTTACTGCCACAAAGGAAGGAGGAGAGAGGGAGGGAGGGAGGGAGGGAGATAGAAGGAGCTAAGGAAAGAATGAAAGAAGCAGCAGCTATTTCTGTGTTTTTAAATGGAACCAATTATGATGAGAGAAGATGAGAGAGACTTTTATCACAAGGTAAAGCACAGGGTCAAACAGACAATCACAAAAGCAGAACAGGTAGGTCTGGCTCACCATCACTGTTGATGCAGACAACCTCCTGAACTTGAGCGCCTGGACCACACTCTTTTCCATTGTCTGGTTCACAGTCTCCAAGCCTCACTGCTTTCCACTCGTAGCAGGACGGCTCCTCACAGGGAATGGCTTCCAGTAAGTGAGGGCAGCTCCCAGTGCCCGCCCAGCCTCCAGTGGGCTCATTGGTAATGCGCCGCTTCCTCAGTTTGAAACCTGAATTATTTGGGGAAGGAAAATATTTATTGTTACCATCGAGGGTTGAATATTGTAGAAGGCTGAAAAAAACCCAAAAAACTCTGAGTGAAAGGTGGATGAGGTTAGGAGGTATAAATCATATCTGCTTTAATCACTGGTATATCCTCAAACTCTAGGCCAGTGGACGGCAAACTGCGGCTCGAGAGCCACAAGCGGCTCTTTGACCCCTTGAGTGTGGCTCTTCCACAAAATACCGACTTCTGTGCATGGCGTACAGTGCAGTTGAAACTTCGTGGCCCATGCGCAGAAGTCCGTATTTTGTGGAAGAGGCGGTATTTTATGGAAGAGCCACACTGAAGGGGCCAAAGAGAAGCATGTGGTTTGCAAGCCGTGGTTTTTTTTGAAGAGCCACACTCAAGGGGCCAAAGAGCCGCATGTGGCTCGCGAGCCACAGTTTGCCAACCACTGCAGGCTAATGTGAGTTTATTAATAATTCATTAAATATATAAATGAATGAATAAACATAATGGCCAAAGAGAAACTTTTGGTGTTAGCTTACTATAGTAAAAATAAGGCAAGACATGCCATCTATCTCCCATCACATCCTCAAGGGCTGTAGGAAGAGGGAGGAAGAGAGAGAAAAAGAGAGATCTAGATTGATTTTGCTTGACTTAGAAAGTCTGCAGTTATAAAATATTCAAAGAAACAATGAAATATCAAGCTATTCAGAAATATTCATGACCAGACAAAAGTGCTATTCAAATTCTTCAATACTATCGCATGATTAAATCTGAAAAGGAACTTCTGATAAGTTGGATAGTCCCAGGAAATTGTCCCTTTGAGACTTAGTTGATTTTGAACTCCCTGGAAATTAGAATTAGGGATATAAACCATCTGGACTCTAATGAGTAGTCAAAGTCCTGTTCTGTGCCTTTGTAGCACCTAAGTGTTGCCTTCCTGACAATGTATAACAAAATTCATGTCTGTTGCTATGTGAACATGTTGGAATCGCTAGGATACTACCCTTTGAAAGAAAACGGGGAAATGATTTTCATTACCGGATCATGTTAAAATTATCCCACCTTGCTTACCACATAACAAGCCACTGCATTTATTCTACTCTTCCTAGAAGTATCATTTGCATCATAAAATCAATAGCATTTTGTTTTTGTTTTTATCTTCAGAGTAATGAGTTCTGTTTACTGGGCACTAGCTACGGGTCAGGCACTGAATTAAGAGCTTTATGATTATTATCTCATTGAATCTTTAGAGAAAACTTGGGTGGCAGATATTATTACATCCCCCTCAAAGATAAAGGGACAAAGATTTAGATAAGTTAATTAAGTTAATTAACTTATCTAAACAATATAAGACGGAGTAGGGTTTCCAATCCAGGTCAGCCTGGCACCACAGCTAATTATAACCACGGTGCAAAATTGCCTTAGACATTCTCCATCTGTTGTCTAAATTACCAAGTATCTTGCTTACTTCAATTTCAATCTTCTGGTACCATCACCAGACTAGGTTTATTCATCCTTTACAATCAATACCCTTTAGCCATTCTGGAAAATATCACAAATGAATAACTACAAGAGAAACAGAGTAGACTTTTTAAATAACTCATGGTTTAACGCAATTGATGAGAACTCCAAGTATGCCATGTTAACATTACATACCTTTTTTGCCTTGCTGGTCATTACAGTTTTCATAAGTACAAGGTCCCCAAGCTGACCAAGGTGAAACCTCACATTCAATTGGACAGGGGATGTGGCACAGCTGCGTGGTGTTAGGAGCAGGGCCAGTGCATAATTTCAAATCCACTGGTTTGGAGGCTGTTTGGAGAAAAATAGAGATTCTTTAAGAATTAGACAAGTTGTTATGCTCAACAGCCTGATTGTTCTGCATGTATGGAGAAGGAAAATGCTTAAAGAAGTGCCAGCAAAACATTATTCCAATGCTTCTCAACTACGTCCTGAGAATAAAAGGAGAAGGAATGGAAAGCAGCAGGATGGTGTAGTACAAGGGGATGGGCGAGAAGTCTTGCAGATTGTTTGTTCACCAGCTTTACCACTAATTAGTCATGCAATTGATATTGCAGGGTCTAACTTTCCTAGGCAATAAAATAATCCTTACGGTCAATTTAATCCTTAAAATTCTGCAGTTAGAGTCCAAGAAAGTGGCATCTACTTTAGAGGACTGAAATAATAGGAGGGAGACTGCAGCGTTACTATATATGGAAAAAAATATATTGTGGTTTCTGGTGGAGCAGTCTCCCTTTCCTTTTGGTCCCAGAGAAGTAACTGGTGGATGTGATGAAGGAAGAGCTCATGCCACCAAATGGGGCATCTCTCTTGACCTCTAGCCACATGAATCACCAGATACTTTCTAGAACTTTTACTGAAAACATCATCTGCCTATGGGACTCAAATCTCAGAATTGCTAAGAAGGCTAATTTATAATTGTCTATGCTTGTTCGCAAGTTGGCCAATGAACGATGGATAAGTACTGCTTGCGCTTGCTTCTCTTCTATGATGATGTGTGCAGTTTGGCTATTATTTACAGCAAATGCATTTGGCAGTTAGTGTAAATGACTAAGTGAGAAAGATATTTGCTACATATACAGCAGAAAAGAATCAAGTTTAGGTGTGTATTGTATCCTATATAGCTGTAGTTATTCTGTTGTAAACATTTTAAGAAGTAAATGTCTTGGACAGCATTTCCTTTAATAAAAGCTAAGTTCCTGTTTCTGTCTGATAATTTAGGATGCCCATACCTGTGGCACCAAGGACGGAAATAAAAGAGGTCTTAGATAATTCTCATTCTCTTTATGTAAAGAACTATCCAATTCCAATTGCATGGAATTGCATCTAGAAGCTCACAGAAATTAAAATAATTTAAGCTATATTGTCCTAATTTTTAAATAAAAGTACTAACTACATCAGCTTGTAGCTCAACCTCTAAGGCAAACTGTGGGTACTTTCTCATCACTCAGCTTCCTGCACTCACAGAGACACTCACTCATCAATGCTACCTGAAGGCTCTTACATTACCACCTCTTCTGCCAATCTGACAAAAAAAAATAGGTAATTTTGATTCATTCACACTGGATAGCTATTGCTATATTGGCTTTTTTTTTTTTTTACAATCTAAGGGAAAAGAGGTCAGTGCCTTTGACTAAACAGTCAGGTATTGCATGTTTTAAAAATTCTTGTGGCACACCAGTGTGCCTCTAGTGGTAGAAAAATCACTGGACTAGCATTTAAATGATAATAGTATCTATGTCTCCATTTTTTTTCCAGTTGACTAAAAGTAATTTTAAACATTATATTGTTTTGAAAATCATTATTATAATGGGAGTCCTTTATGCCTGTAACTGTGAGGACTGTTATAGAGCCTGAAAAATTTATTTTATATATATAAGGTTGAAAACTAGGAGGGAAATGGGGTTTTATCAAGGGAACAGGTTAAAATATTGTGTTTCTAATTCCTGGCCATTTTCAGTATGAGCATAATGTTAGCTTTCAGTGTATTTTGAATGAATCACATAGAATAATCAGTCACAGAAATCTTCTGGAGCTATTATGAGAGAAATGTGTCGAATAAAGGCTTGAGGAAGTATTGCTTAAAGCAAAATACTCTTGAGATCTTCTCAGCTGCTAAACTACTCAAGTCAACATAGAGATAATATAGTTCTTGAAAAAGAACCTCCATTTTATAGATGTCTTTATAGAATATATATAAAAGTTATTTCATCAATCAAAGAAACACAGGAAGAGAGTACATATTTCTGTATGATTCTATTCCTTTGGTGATTTTCATTATAGGTTTTTCTTGTGAATAGGGTACATATTGATTAATGTAAATCGCAGATACTAGCTGAGCTCCTCAAAAACTATAAGTCAATTACATTTTTTTTGCAATTGCCTAAGGGTTATTTGGAATAAGTGTAATTCAATGAATGAGGTAAAGGACAGGCCCTGGAGACCTTGCTGAATTCCAGTTTAATTTGTGGATAAAATTCCTGTAGTTCTGTATTACATAATGTAATGTTACTGCTGACCATATATTCTCAAAAACTAAGATTTGAATTTTCTAGAATAGCCTATTCATTATTCATTATAATTGTACTACCTAAGGAATTGTTCATCCAATAAGGCTCCAAAGAAATACATTCGATTTTTTTTTAAAGTCTTATTGTTGGATCTCTTAAAAATAAAGGATAAATGTTATTGTTCTCATTGGACTTAAAGGATATTCAATTATATTTACTTTGCATGCTTCATGGGGTTACAAAAGAATGTTTGAACTTTCCAAAAGTGGCTTAACAAACAAAAAAATAAGACGTGCATTTCTGCAGGTCCAAAATATGTTTGTACTCTTATGTTTGTAGCATTACAAATGGGAAAAAAATCATTATAGGAAGCAAACTTAAGACTTCTTTACAGCAATGTGGCTAATGAGGCATTCTGAAAATATATCATGTATAACTCCTAAGAACAGCTAATGTGTTATTTTAAAGTTTGAACATTTTCTTTTTAAAAAAATTCTTTGATTATTACATATGTGTCCTTATCCCCACATTACCCCCCACACCCCTACTCATGCCCTCACCCCCCTATTGTCTGTGTCCATTGGTTAGGCCTATATACTTGCATGTAAGTCCTTTGGTTGATCTCTCCCCATTCCCCCACCCTTCCCTACCCCCTTCTGAGGTTTGACGGTCTGATCAATGCTTCTCTGTCTCTGGATCTGTTTTTGTTCATCAGTTAATGTTGTTCATTATATTCCATAAATGAGTGAGATCATGCTATATTTATCTTTCTCTGACTGGCTTATTTCTCTTAGCATAATGCTCTCCAGTTCCATCCATGCTGTTGCAAATGGTAAGAATTCCTTCTTTTTTACAGCAGCATAGTATTCCATTGTGTAGATGTACCACTGTTTTCTAATCCACTCATCTACTGATGGGCACTTAGGCTGTTTCCAAATCTTAGCTATGGTGAATTGTGCTGCTATGAACATAGGGGTGCA